TCCCATATCGTCTCGATAATTCCATTGTAGCAATGCTTTAACCCCTTGGAAACAGAGTCTGTAATCCATTGGAAAAAGTCATATAATCCACAATGGTAAATCCACAACGATTGGAAGTGTTGATTAATCAGCATACAGAGGGGTACCCTTGGGTTGAACTGAAGAAGCGGCCACTGGATGAAGAGTGGAGACCAACGTCAGGATTGCAGGTCGCCTCCAGCGAAGGTTGTCTCCAGCGACGTCCAGCCTGTGTCGTTCTGGTTCAAATGTGTCATGCAATTATGTGGTTTAAGGTGGGCTTATGAAGGTGATTTTACATAAGGCCTTAAACTATATGCACCTGGTGTGTAAGCTATTATGGTTGGGAACAGCTACGACTACCAGTTAAGGGGTGGAGCATGCTGAAAAGCGGTAACTACAGGGGTTTAAGCCTATAGAAAAGGGTTCCAAACTACTTTTCCATTTCTAACTTGGGTTAAGTTAGCTTTACATGGCAAAATATAGTTTGGTTCAAATGTCTGTTGTCTTTTAGACGAACGACTTGAGATTGGGTGTTTGGTTTCCCCATAAACGTTTTGGAAGTCTATGGCGAGACTTATCAAAAAGAATTAGCTATCCCCCCGAATAGAATTGTTCGAGTAGGTTCGGCTTAAGCGATGTGAGATCAATGTAGATTATGGTACTTAAGGTAACAATAATATACATTGACTCCGCAAGGATTGCAATTTAGCGAATGAACTTCATGTTGGCATGGTTAAAGGCCTCTTAGTCTCTAACTTAACTTACACACAAGATTCATTCTTACCTCAGAAACAACCAAAACCAATTCAACAACGTTTCAACACCGACAAGAGTAGTGACTAAGCATCTAGAAACATCGTTTCACTGCTTCTCCTCACCCTGGTTGTCAGTTTCAGTCGCGCTGTCCCGTGTGAGTGGCTTCTTTGCGGACCCGCTTACGCGAGGCATAATCATATCGAGGTGCGCTGCATGGCGATCCACGTCGACTCGGAGTGACGTTTGGCCCCGGAACAGGGATGCGAGTATCCCACACAATACGAGGGTTATCGTCATTAGCAGGGCTATGATTAATGTGTCCGCGCTCGACCACGCATAGGTAATTGGTTGGATCGGGTTCTTAGTTGTGGACCTGAGGGACTTGAGAACTCGGTTTATTGGTTCCACGTCGACGACTTGGGTGCCTTCAAAACGGATCCTTCCCAGAGTCTCTGGATCTATGTCTATAGACATATTTCCCAGGTACTCTGAGTCATCCAGAGTCGCGTCCCATCGTTCCGGATCGAGGTGATAGAGCGTCAAATCACCAATGTGTATGGTTGTTCCCTGGGGAACACTGATCCACATCGTTTTGTCCACTACAGCAGCCACAACAAACTCAACCAGTTTGATTATGATAAGATGGTTTCTGGAGTCCACCCTCTCCCCCGCCGACTCATCTGAGGCAGCCATGGCCAAAGTGGTTCAACTACTTATGGGACTGAGTTTGTTGTGGCTCCTCGGACTCATGAAGTCTTTTGGATGAAAGACGAAATGTTTCAACAAAAAGAAACCGTCCAGAGGAACTGATTAACTTTGTTGGATTTTTTACCTGGATTATTGAGCATGAAATTTGATGTTAAAATTAAAATGTTTTCTAGAAATTCAGTCAAAACTAATAATTGCAACTTTTCTTGAAGTTTAACATTTCTTTTAGGTTTGCTGGGTGGTTCAAAGAGCAGCTAAGGACTCCGGTTATTTATTAAAAAAAAAGGATCAAGTCGGCAGTGTAGAATTAACTCTATTACAAGTACAAGTCCTGTAATGATTTTTTTTTTTTTGTTATGTCAAAGTAAAATAGCATCTTTAAATAATATTATTGTTTGTTTAAATGCTTAATGCAGATATTGAGGTGTGATAAAAAGACTTTAAAAAAAGATATGAACCAGCGATAAGAAGAAAAAAGGTTTCTCAAGAGTTGTCTAGAGGTTTTAAAACTGTTTCTACAATAAAACGGTCTTTGTAATGTTTTATCGATGCAACTACTGAAATGAAACAAATAGTTTCTTTGTGAAGGGCAGCTCTTAAAGTTCTTAAAGAGCCATTTTAAAATTGATTTTCTCAAGGACGTCTGTTAGGTGTATAGACAAAGAAAGCAGTGCAATTCGGCCCATGAACTTGAGGAAACTTTTTTTAAAGCTGGGAAATGTTTAAAACCTTCCCGAATGTCTGGAAACGTCATTACACAAGGCTTCTTAAAAATGTTCAACAGCCTGGCTCTTTAAACATGAAGAAATTATTATTATTTTATTTTTTATTTTTAAATACTTCAGCTTTAAAAATGGTATGTTTGAAATAATAAAATTAGAGTAAAATATATATTTTTTGTTCTGGTTTATTTTCAAGGATTATTTTTGCTAACTGAACGCCAACTGTGAAACTGCAATCAATCACATATTTGCAAAGAAATCTATTAAATATATGTCAGTCAAAGTTTTTTTGTTTCAAATTTTCCTCCACGACAACAGTTCTGCTGTCTTCTCTTATTTTTATTTTTTTACCACCCTCTCATGTGGTGGTGAAAGTAAAACCAAGAGTTGGTGTCAAACATGACGCTGGAGAAGTAGAACAATTAGATTTTAGTGGAAGGGCAACACGAGACAGTTCAGAGGAGGAGAAACAAAGTGTTGAGGAGAAGACTGAAGATGCAAGATGTGGATATCAGTCCCACCACTGCAGTCGCTGTGACCAAGGACATGCTAATCTCTCCCATTAGCAGATCTCTCTGACTCTCATAATGTTACTGCTAGCTGCTCTCCTGTGACATCTTCTGGGCTTTGTGTATGTGTGTGTGTGTGTGTGTGTGTG